CCGGGGAGGTGTTGACTTCAATGATTCTAATTTGTATTCACTTGAAACTGTGTAGAATGAAAAAGAGGATTCTGAGGTTGCTTCGGAGATCTCGGTGCTACTCAGTGGGGGAGTTATTAGAAAATCATCAGGCGTAGTTGTAACTCCATTGTGAACACATCTTAACTCGTTTAATTGATTTATAGTTGCTTGCTCGCCATCAGAGCTCCTAAATTCCTGTATAATAAAGTTCTTTGCCGATTTTTTTTCTCCCAAAGAATCGTTTAAAGAGAGGTTTTGTGAGGAAGCAGAGAGAGAACCATCCTTATAATTATCGAAAGATTTAATTGGTGGTATTCCGAGTGAAGGGACAGACGAGGATGGTGTAGTGAAGGTGGATGCATATTCGGATTGATCTATCCAATCTTCGAACAAATTATTGTCATCCTTGTGAATTACTGTTTGCGAAATCAATTTTATATCACTAAACGGTTTTTTATGTGGTGGTTGACGCTTGAATAATAAACTTGCGGCCATTTAATTGATTCAAAATCGTTAGTCAATGTTGTATAAAAAATTTTTTTTTAAAAAAAAAACACGAAAATCAATTATATAAAAAATTCTTTCCCTTGCATAAATACTGGCAATTTTATGCATTTACAGAATTCATTGAAGTATATTGTGTTATTCCGACACACTGTAGTTACTATTGTGAGTTTTGAGTTATCCATTGACATTTTCTTAAGATAGGATTCGCTTTTTTTCATAAAAGGAAATTTGTCATCTGTAATTGGCAATGTTATTTATAATACCGGAGTGAAAACCCCCAATCCATTAATACAACAGTAACTTCGAATTTTTATTCAATACAGTAGTAAGTCGTCGGTTCACAGTCAACACTCTAGTCTTTGAGGGATTTTTGTGTCAATTCGATTCTTGTCACCAACTTTATCTAAGGGGGATTTATGGTTGATCGCGTAGTCTTTGTATTGTTCGATCGAAATATTTTCTGCATGCTTCTGGATACACGTGACAACCAGTCCAATGTTTTCTTTCCAAGCATATGCATTCGTGAATTTTCATCCTTGATTAAGATGTTACAGATGTTACAGTTCGAACAAGTCATTATACTCATTAAATTAATGGGTGAGCAGTGTGAGTACAATGTATGATAGTGTATGAAGACAGATAATCAATGATAACGCTCTTTCAATGACCTTTCACAATGAAAGGCTTAGCATAGATGGACAAATTTGATCAATTACATGACCCTTTCTTTCACCTCCGACACATGATTCCGAATATCTAGTCTTTTACTACTGTATCGATAAAAGCACTTGTAAACCTGAAAGAAATTATTTATTCTTATTTAAGTTTAATTAGGACCGATTGACGAATACATTGAATTTTTAAAATAATGTAATAAATTGAATTTATTTATTTATTTTAATATATTATTTTTATTGTTTAGTTTTTTTTGGCTTTGTTGTAACCAATGGGTTGTTGCATTATCTATTACTGTATATAATTATATTAAATATAAATTTACAGTAGCCTATTATAATATTGTAAACACTTTCTAAAAATTGTTATAATTAAATCAGATATTAAATTAAAAATTAAAAATTAAATTTGTCAAATCCAAGATATGATGCAAATAATAATATTATTATTTTATAATTATATTTTAAGTAATAATTCAATAAATAATTGTTTTTCTAATTTAATATTTTATGAATATATTTTTAAAGATAAAATAAAAAAACCAAATAAATAATTTTTAATATAAACAAAAATCATGTCAATTCAAAAAAAAAAAAGTTTCTAACAATATGTATTTTCACAAAAAAAACAAAACAATTTTGTAAAGAATAATATTTGTATATTAAAAATAATAAGCAACATATTATATATATTAAAAAAAACAAACAAAGATAAAAAAAAATCATATTATTAATTTTAAAAAATTTTCATATCAATTTTAATTAACTCAAATATTAAAAAACACTATACTATTAACAGTTAATAACAATTATTATTTTATTATACTTTTTTAACAATAATAATTTTTAACAAATAAATTTTTAAAAAACATAACATAAAAAATAAAAAATTTTATTAATATTAATCAATATAAATATAAATATATATTTTTTTTATATTTAAACAAGTATTTATTATATTTATTTAATTTTTTATAATTAAAAATATAATAGTATAAAACCTTTATATATAAACTATTTTAATACTTAACTATTTATTATTAATTTAATTTTTGAAAATATAATCTTAAAAATAAATAAATAAAATTTTTTCTTTTTAAAAAAATTCAAGTTTATTATTTACAATAACAAAATATTACTTATTTTTATCTTTTTGTTTTTTTTTTTTTTTGATTTTGTTTCACAAAATATTCACAAAAATATTTATCAAATTATTATTGTTAATTAATAAATTTGAAAATATTATTATTACAATTTTATCTAATTACTTATTATTAAATTTAATTGTTTTTTATTTTTTTTTGATATTTTTATATTTTTAAAAATTTATTTATTTATTTTTCTTCTTATAATTTAGATTTATTGAATAGTTTAAATAATTTTTTTAATATTTTTTAACTAATGTTTATTATTATTATTTTTTATTAATATATATAGTAAAATTTAAAGCTTTGAAAAATACCAAACTAATATTGAATTAATATTAAAATAGTACTAATCTATAGTAAATTTAATATATGAATTGTGACCTACTTATATGATTTTATAATAAATTTAAGTATTGAACTAATATTAAAAAAATATTGAAGTAATATTATTAGAAGCTTTAGTAAAATCTCTATAAATTAATATTTTGAAACTAATAATTTTTTTTTAAAAAAAAAAATAATCAAGTATAATAAAATACAATCATTATTAATATATAATTGAATATTCAGAATATATTCAAAAGATTTATACAAGTTAATATATATATATATATTACTATCTCAATATTCTATACAAATTATTTTAAATATAACATCTCTTTAATAAAAATTCAAATAGCAAGAAGTATTATATTATATAATACAGTAGTAACTAACTTGTTAGAAAACTTATAATATTTTGAATTGAAATTTATAAAATAGAACAAAAAATCTATATATTTTTGAAAGTTCTTAATTAAGGATTTAATAAATTAATAAATATTAAATATTTATTATAATAATAACATTTAAAATTAAAAAAAAAAGATAATTAAAAATAAATATATAAACTTTTTGTAACAATATAAAAAGGATTGTATTAATTAAAAGAAAATATAATTATATATAAATTATAATACAAATATATAATTTATAGTAATTAAAATACTTGGATATTTTGTATACTT